CAATCGGGAAGTGAAACATTTTATAAGAGCGGCGTTTAGTCATAATCTCTCACGCATCTGGATATCTGTTATTATGCCTTTTTGGCAAACATACAAAAGTTGATTTCATTTAGAAATACTATTTAATGAAATCCAATGTCGATAAGCTGCTTTTTTTTATGTGCGGATGTTGTCATGAATTTAATTAGAATGAAAAACAGAAGCATGTATGAACTTAATGTAAAATAAGGAAGTATCATGAAAGTAAATGTCAGAACATTACTCAAACTTCCTTGAACATGTTTCATCCAAATAAATGAATGTTGCGCTGACTTCAATCGACCTAATGCTCGTACTCAAAGAAAAAACTTTTTTTTGTGCGCGCGAAATTTAAAGACGGAAATTGTGGATGTTGTTAAATAGTAAAATGCTTAGGTTTCAAAACGGACATGTTGAATTAGTGATTTTTCTTTTTAAGATGGTGAATTCAAATCTGAAGCGCTACAAGTGCCGCATGATTGCCGTTTTTCACATGTGAACTCTGGCGAATCCTGCAATGACTATCAACACTGGCGAGATGAAGCCACGAAACAGTGCTCGGCTAAGGTACGGTACTAATGTAAATTCTGTGATTACACCGTTTTGTGCTACAATTTTCACAGTGGTAAATTTTCAGACTTTCAATGGAAAGGGAATGACTGTGCGTTCATTCGCTGTTCTCGAACCATGCAGTCTCGACCTGTTCACTGGTGTCGAATTCGTTTGCTGCCCCACAGTTGGTGAGTTCCTTTATTATATAGAATTTTCAAATCCTCTTCGTAAAAGTTAGTTAAGCTCAGTTAAGTTAGTAGAGCTGAAAAACAGTCAAATTTTTTTGACTATTTTACAGTTCTGAAAAAGGCGACCTAAGCCGGAACTTGTTGACCTTTTTTTGATTTTTTAAAAATTTTACTCTCTTGGTTATGCTTAATCAAAAACAGGTGTTGTTGTTGTTGTTTAAGTGTGTTTAAGTATTGCCAAGGTTAATAAAT